AGGGTTGTTATGCGGCTCATATTCTTCATTTTCGGCTTCGACGTAAGCTACCCTTTCTTTTTTATGATTTTTACTTCCCCTGGCCTTTTCAGCTTTCAGTCGTTCGACCTGTCGAACTCTATCTGCCAACTGGGCCATATCTCTCAAGTGTTGAGTATCTAACTTCTTTCTAATGGAATAATCTAATCCACCTGCAGCCATTTCGACTAACTCATGCTCAGGCACCACAGTAAAGCATCTAGATTTCAGAAGACGGAACCTATTCAGGTAGTCATCTATGGGTTATGTGAATTTCCTCTTTACGCTTGCCAATTCCTTCAAACTTATCTTTGTTTGTCCCATGTAAAACTGTTAATGGAACAGTTTCCCTAAGTAAGACCACGTATCTATGGAACTAGGAGGTAATGTGGTGAACCATGTAAAAGCATTTTTGGTTAGTGAACTAGGGAAATATTTTATTCTTAGGTCTTCATTTTTTTCCAAGTTTCCTAACTCTGTCAAATATCTGGCTATTTGCTCAATAGTGGATTCATTTGTATCCCCTAAAAAATTGGTGAACTTCGGGATCTTGTGACCCCTTGGAAATTCTGTTTGCAGAATAAATTCCGCTATAGGGGGAGTGTAGTTGGGGCGTCGAAACCTTGTGTTTAAACCATTATTAGCCATGATTCTTTCGACTATATTTGTTATATTATTTTTGACCAACATGTTGTCTTGTCTCATTCTATGAACAACTTCATCTGCATCTTGGCCTCTATTGACCATGACTATTCTCCTGGGTGGTTCCTCAGGATTTGGCTGTCGAATACCTACTTGTTGAACTCTTGGTTCTTCAACAATATTTTGTCTAGGTTGTTGAACCTGGTTTATGGTTGGTTCTTCTTGAACTCCTATGATATTCTGCCTGCGTCGAGCAGGTGGTTGGGGGTTCCCAAAGAAATCCTCTATTCGTGCCATATGCGCTGACAACTGTTGGTATGATTGGGTGTTTTCTTGATTGGTTATGTTTATATTCTGGATTAGGGGAGAAAAAATAGTATTCATTTCCCTCGCCAATATTCCAACTATATCATGGTTACTAGCATCCATTTGTTGTCTAAGTGATGCCTGGGTATTTGTTGTTAACGCAGGCATCTGGGCTGACAGGCCTTGGTTTTGGGCGCTTCGACCAATTGAACTAACATTTTGAATCAGCGAAAAAGTACTTACGTTAGGTTGCGTATATGCGGAAGTGCCATTGTGTAAACCACACATGAATGATGATGAGGGCCCTCCATATGATTGTTCTGCCCAAGGCCTAAAATTTTCGAATCCTGGTGGCCTGGGGGGTGTCGAAGGTGGTACTTGGCCTCCTACATATATCAAAATAGGGCCATTTTGAGTATTCGAAAGAGACTCTGATGTACCCCCAAAGGGGGGCACGTTGGTCAAACTAGCCACATAAGCAGTTCCTGTGTAAGGTGGATTCGAATTAGTTGCGGCCATTGATCCTGTTGATGTTGGAATGGCCTGGGAACTAGTTGTCGAATTTGTACCGACCGTTCCTGATCCTTGTGGAGGATTTTGTCCTCCTTGATCATTAGTTGTGTTAACCATTCTTCTGGTATGTTTTTTCTTAGGTATTGGTTGAGATTCACTAATAATTCTGCCACTCCTAAGGTTCATACAACACTTTTGCGTATTTTACCAGAAAATAGTCTTTTAAACCGTCTGTTATGATTACAACTGGTTTTTTCTTAAAACGTTATGACACAGTCCCACCATGTGTGCCAATTTGTTCGTTGTAATTTCTGGCGAAACAACCGCTAGTCTTTCAAACAAATTTGATATGTATGGTTACTCGCAAGATCGACTAGATTGATCCTAGGACATAGTCTTAATGTTAATTGTAACACTTATTTTACGGTTTATGTTAAACACGATGTAGTGCTTGTGCATGTGTTTGTGTAAAGGCTTCAAATACAAAGACTTTTAGAATTAAATTCATTTATGTAAAGGTTTGGACGAAACGTCTTAATCAAAAGACTTAAGGTTTGAATGTAAATACTTGACAATGAAAAGACTTAAAACTGGAATTAAAGGACTTGATTGTAAAGGAAAGAGCCTTTTAAAAGAAACTTGATACATAAAGCTTTACAGGAAAATGAAGCAATTCAACAAAAACTGGAATTAAAGGACTTGAATGTAAAGGAAAAAGCCTTTTAAAAGAAACTTGATACATAAAGCTTTACAGGAAAATGAAGCAATTAGACAAAAACTGGAATTAAAGGACTTGAATATAAAGGAAAGAGTCTTTTAAAAGAAACTTGATACATAAAGCTTTACAGGAAAATGAAGCAATTCAACAAAAACTGGAATTAAAGGACTTGAATATAAAGGAAAGAGCCTTTTAAAAGAAACTTGATACATAAAGCTTTACAGGAAAATGAAGCAATTCGACAAAAACTGGAATTAAAGGACTTGAATGTAAAGGAAAGAGCCTTTTAAAAGAAACTTGATACATAAAGCTTTACAGGAAAATGAAGCAATTCGACAGAATCATAAAGAACAAATTGAGAACAATTGCAGGAGTACGTAAAAGAATGGTTCAAAAGAAATTATATTGATAAATGCATTTCAAAGATAAAATGTGTGATGTCATACGTACATTCTCAATGAACTATTTCTCTGTAACTTGGTACTTGAGTATTTTATGAGTAACTTTGTACGAATTATGATCATCCTTTCTCCCTAACACTAAGGAACTATTTATAATGTTCTAACCATAACGGTATTATTCTAATGAAGAGCCACGTCGCTTCTTGCATGTCTTTCGACACTCTAAGGCTTTCATGCGTCTTTCTTATCCAACGAAACTATTTCGAATTTCAAACATTCCCGCTCAAGCCTTCAACAATAACTTTTTCACGTGGTCGTCGAAACGCGCGTTTTGACAAAACAAAAACACTTGTCCTTTCAAACTGTCTTCTTCGACTCAGATCATGTCTTCTTCGACTCAGATCCAGTAACAACATACTTCATGTATAGCTTTTTCAAGCCATCTTGTGGAAATTTAAATGAATGATTCCTTTATTATCCTGGTCGAAATTCCCAGCTAACAGGCACAGTGTTGTATGTTTCTCCAAATCTCTAGCTCCTTTTATAGAGTTTTATGAAAGAGTCAGAGAGAACTTCAAGCACAAGAGAGTCTTTTAAGAGAAGTATCAACAGATTCATTATAAAGCTTCCTGATATGGTTAATGTCGTTGCAAACTCATTTGAAATTCCTTTTCTACAAAAGGAATTATGAATTGTAAAACTTCAAGTTTCTGCAACTTTCTGCTAAGTCTTCACGTGACCAGAACAGAACAAATTGACCATAGAGTCTGATGGCGACATGTCAGAAAGTTTGTGGTACTTGAGCTTTGACCGGGTTCAAGTTCTAGTTCTTCAGAGTCTGAGTATTAGCTTTAGATCCTTCAGACTCTGAGTCTTCAAAGGCTAGCTTAATCTTCAGGAGCTAACTTGTTCAAAGTTTGGAGACTTTAAGTTCTGATCATCAGAAGTTGACTTGATTAGAAGTTGATTCTTCATAGTCTGATATTCAAAATTTGTCTCTTAAGAGCTTCTCTTTCAGTTTAGTTCAATTTCATAATTGACTTTGAATCAGTACATTAATCTTTGTACATACACACTTGGACACACAATAGTCTATCTGATTGTTCTTTAAATACTTTGTTATCATCAAAATCTAAGGGATATGGTATAAATCAATTTCGTACCAACATACTTGAGCGATCTGATGGTCCTCTGCATTCCACGTCTAAAAGATAACAAGGTCGTTATTCCTCTTATATATATATATATATATATATATATATATATATATATATATATATATATATATATATATATATATATATATATATATATAACCATATCGACGGTTTACTATGTTTTGCACTAGATCGAAGAAAAATTGTGCTTGGTTTAATTTGAAAATGAAATTAAATGGGTGATGGATACGGGTGGAAATAAGTCAGGCCGGCCTACAGGAGCCTATGACCTAACCTATTTGAGGTCAAGTCAGACCAGACTTATTTACTAAAAATGTCAGACTTAGGCTTTTTTAAAAAGCTTATTTAATTAAATAAGTCAGACTTATACTATTAAAAAGGCATATGAAACCTTATATATATATATATATATATATATATATATATATATATATATATATATATATATATATATATATATATATATATATATATATATATATATATATATATATATATATATATATATATATATATATATATATATATATATATATATATATAGTCTAAATAGATTGGTCTATAGATACATATATATTAGGAAAAAAGTGCTAAATAGGTCAGCCTATATATACATATAGAGGCCGACCTATAAGGTTTCTTAAGTAATATGAATTTATTGAAAACCTTAATAAGAAACAGATTTTTAAATCAGACTAGACTTTTAAAAAAGTTAGGTCAGACAAAACAAATAAGTCTATAGTATATAGTAGAACATATGTCAGACCCAAACCTTATAAAATCTAGAATAGTCTAATCTATTTTCAGTCATGTGAATGATATGAAAATAAAAGAGAGAGAAAAAGAAATACAGGAATAAAAAGAAAATTTTAAGTGATGTGATACTTAGTTATTTCCCAAAAGATTGGAGTTGACCAAGGAAAAATATATGATTAATAAGTGACAAGTGTTTTATCTATCACAAAAAATATATGATTAATAACTTAATGCCATTGTATTTTGTCATATTTAAATATTTAGTAAATTGTTCATTTCATTCCTACAGTTTTTCCCCTTCGCGCCCATTGGTGTTATCGTAGAAACGGAAAACACTCCCTTCCTCGCAATTCATCTCTTGATTCTTGATACCGCAGTTCTAGTTTTGTTTCTGCATCTTCAATTTCCTGTTTTCCTTTCTCATTTTAGGGTTTCTTTTGAAAAATAATTAGGTTTTTATTTTTCGAAATGGAATCTGAAATCAACATGCGACAAAGTATCAAGAGAAAGAGAGATTATTATAGTCCACTGAGTCGCAAGAGTGATGAAACCTTTCTTGATCTATTGATTGGAGCTCTGAATAATGATAAAAGATGTGACGACGATGAACAGTTCAAACAATATATGTTGAAATGGAGTATGGAAAAAATGGAGGAAGATTTGGGAGAAAAATATCCTCATCATAAACCTAAGTTAAAAGCATATATTGAATGGGTAAATGAGAGGTTAAGGACAGTTTATGGAATAGTTTGTGATATGAAAAAGCAAAGTGGGTTCGGCTGGGATGACGAGAAAAAAATGATTAAGGTGGATAGTGATCAAGTGTGGAAAGAGTATGTAAAGGTTAGTGGTGTCGATTGTTTATTTTTCTTTGATTTTTGCCTTACTTGATGTTCGTGATTGTTGGAAATTTATTTGGTTTTCTGTAACTGTGTAGAGAGATCCGCGAGCAACGTATTTTAGGAATACTCCGATCCCACTTTTTGATAAGCTTGCTCGTGTTTTTGGAAAAAATCATGCTAGTGGTAAAGAACTTGGTAACTCTAGTTCAAATGTTGAGATGATAAAGGAGGAACAAAAGGATTCTGCTTGTGGTAAAGAACCTACTAGTACTAACCCTAGTGCTAATTTTGAGATGATAGATAAACAAGAGGAGGAACAAAATGATCATGCTTGTGGTAAAGAACCTGCTAACACTAGTGCTAATGTTGAGATGATGATAGATAAACAAGAGGAGGAACGAAATGAACATCCTGCTAGTGGTCACGAACCTGCTAACTCTAGTGTTAATGTTGAGATGATAGATAAACAAGAGGAGGAACAAAGTGATCATGCTTGTTTTAAAGAACCTGCTCACACTAGTGTTAATGTTGAGATGATAGATGATAAACAAGAGGAGGAACAAAGCGATCCTGCTAGTGGTAAAGAACCAGCTAACCCTAGTGCTAATGTTGAGATGATAGATGATAAACAAGAGGAGGAACAAAATGGTCGTGCTAATGGTCAAGATCTTGCACACTCTAGTGCTAACGTTGAGGTGGTAGGTAAACAAGAAGAGGAACAAAACCATCTTACCAGTGGTAAAGAACCTGCTAACTCTATTGCTAATGTTGAGATGATAGATAAACAAGAGGAGGAACAAAGGGATCATGCCAGTGGTAAAGAACCTGCTAACTCTATTGCTAATGTTGAGATGATAGATAAACAAGAGGAGGAACAAAGGGATCATGCCAGTGGTAAAGAACCTGCTAGCCCTAGTGGTAAAGAACTTGCTAACTCTAGTACTAATGTTGAGATGATAGATAAACAAGAGGAGGAACAAAGGGATCATGCCAGTGGTAAAGAACCTGCTAACCCTAGTGTTGATGTTGGGATCATAGATAGACAAGAGGAGGAACAAAATGACAATGAGGAGGATGAAGTCGAAATGACTCTATTAACACCTATAAAACATGGTTGTATGGAGGGTCCGTCAAAGAAAAGAAATGAAGGAGAAAATGCAATTGCTGATGGTATATTCGAGTTTGAAAAGACTATCAAGGGGTTGCTTGAAAAACACATAGAACAATTGGGTGCAGTTGTAAATCGTCTAAGAGTTGATAAAGATATATATGATGATTCCAGGAAAGTGATGAATGAGCTAACAGAAATGGGGTTAACAGAACAAGAGTATTTTACTGCGGCTGATAGAATATTATCAATGCCACACCGATTACACATATTTTGGGGTTGTAATGATGTTAAGCGTCTTGCATTTGTTAAGTGGTTAATCCATCACTCTTAGAAAAATGTTGTTAGTATAGCAGTTTGATACACATATTGTCTTGTTATGTATATGGTTAGATTTACATCATTTGATGAAATTTGTTTGACACAATGACTTAATTACCAGCAATTGCTTCTCTATGGAATTAACTAGAAATCAGCCAAGTAATGCTTCTGCTGTGATGCATATCTGTGTATAATCTCTTGGAATATCAGCACATCTTAAATTCAAGATAAAGCGATCTACTGTTTATATCTTTTGGTTGTGTTCCACCGTATTGTAAAGAAGTCTGTGCTTTTTGACATTATATAAGGTTGAAAGAAAACCAGCTTTAATTTTTCTCTGTTTTTTCTCCAAGTTAATTTCATCTGGTTTCGTCCCTAGCTCTAAGAGTGTTTTTACCAATATGAAAGCAACATAACAAGTTAATCGATGATAGGAAAACAAGTTCTTCGACTGCATTCATTAAAGCAGTGACTTTATTAGTCACATTGACTTTAGAAATCAATTTCTCAAATGTAAACAACTGTCTTATCTAGCCTAGTGTCTTGATAAAATTGAATTCGCATTCATGTTCTAAAGAAGCAAACCTAACGAAAATGTCAACTTCTTCGACATTACACAAAGAACTTCAAGCATCGGCACCTGGTACATGTTTGTATTGCAGGTGATGTTGATGGTCAGCATCAAATTAAATATGTTTAAAAACTTTACTAAATCAAGATGTGTCCAAAATATATTATTAACAACATAAGAGTCCTCTCTCTTCTTGTCCAAAATTAAGATTAGCAATTGCTGCATTGTAAGAGCCTCTCGAGGAAGATTGATATGTAGCATGTGCTTTATACATTTTTTTTGTGTGATATTTCATATTTTATGTATTTTGGTCTTTCAACACTTCTAAAATAAATCTCAATAACGCCTCATGTCATTCATAAATGGTCCTTTCTCTACATTTAAATACATGAGAAAATTATAATCTTCTAATATCTTTGTTCAATCATGATTGTGAATATCATATCAGACTCTAACCATCAATCCAACAATGTTTTAATATTAAGACTGGTTCTCCACATAAGCCTGTAACTCTTAATCCTAGAATTTCCATTGTTTTTATAATTAGTGGGATACTCGTGCATTCGCACGGGTATCGGTGTGGTAGATACGCTTTTATTTTAAAAATATAATAAAATAATAAATAAATAAAATAAAATTGTTTTCCTAAAGTAGTTTATTATTTTAAAAGAAATGTATATTTTTAAATTAAAAATAAAATTATTTTTCCAAAATTGTTTTACATCAATAATATTAAATTTTATTTTCTTTAATTGTATAAAAAATATAATAATTTGTGAGGACGGACGAATTCTGATCTTAACACTCGTGCGTTCATACTAATACTGGTGTGTTACGCCTATATGTTTCTAAAATGTAATAAAAATGAAAAAAACAAAAAGATAATTATTTAACCAAAAAAATTTATTATTTTAAAAATAATAACATATTTTTATTTTTATTTGAAACATAAATATAATTTTTTCATATATATACAAAAATTTAGATCAACCATATATTTTTCCGTATGTAAATATTAAATTTATTATGACATTATTTATAATAATATTTGTATAATTATTTAGTTTTATAAATATCAACTAATGCCATAGTATTTGAAAATATTATTTTAATTGTATAAATAAATATTAATATCATAAACAAATATATTTTTCCATTGTTTAGATTCATACATTATTTAAATATATTTACTTTTGTTTTACTTAATTATTCAAAAACTGTAATAAATCGTAGATTCGCAGAGATTTTGTTATGGATACTTGTGCATTCGTACGAGTACTACTGTATTACTCACATTTGTTTTAAAGATATAGTAAAAATGAAATGGAAAATGACAAAATTGTCTAACCAAAATAGTTTATTATTTTTAAAAGAGATGATAAATATGATTTCTGTAATTTCTTTCGTATTTGAAAATATTTGAATCAACAGTACAATTATTCGTATATATAGATATTTTTGTTTTGAAATAATATTTAAATCAATAGTAAATTTATTCGTGTTATTATTTAATATTTAAATTAATAACTTAATATCAATAGCATATGTGTGTATCATATCAGTACCCATGTGTTTGCACGAGTACTTGTGTGGTATGTTAAGTTGTCATCACTTATATACAAATTTAGAGAAATAAAATATTGTGATGAAATAAAAAAAATCAAATAATTTATTAATTATTTGTAACAAAAATAATTTATTATTTTTAAAAGAAATAATAAATTGGTTTCTATAGTTTCACACGTATATAAAATTATTTGAATCAATAGTATAATTATCCTATATATAAGATTTTTTTTTGAAATTATTAATAAAAATATTTAAATCAATAGTAAATTTATTTTCGTTATTATTCAATATTTAAATCAATAACTTAATATATGTACCATATACGCGTATCATATTAGTACCCGTGTTTACACGAATTCTAGTGTGATATATTAAGTTGTCGTCAATTATTTACAAATTTAAAAAAATAAGACATTGTGATGAATTAAGAAAAAAATCATATAATTTATTAATTATTCCTAAACCAAATTAATTTATTATTTTTAAAAGAGATAATGAATTAGTTTCTATAATTTCTTCAGTATATAAAAGTATTTGAATTAATAGTATAATTATCTTATATATAAATATAAGAATAATTATAAATTTTTTTACCATTAGTAACATAAATAAATTAAAAAAAACATTATATTGTATCTTAAATTGAAAATAATTTCAAAATAAAAATATTAATAGAGAAAAAGGGATATGCACTGGCCGTGTAAATTAATTTTAAATTGTCAATTAATCATAATTATGTTAAGTATCAAATCATATAGTTATTTTTAAATAAATTATATGATATAATTAAATGATGAATTTTCATTGAATAACATTGTAAAATTATTTTACATTATCACTCACTACTATTTAACTCATATGACAACATATTTTTTTCATATTTAAATTCATACATTATTTTTCCCATATATAAATATTAACATTCACTCATCAATTTATAAATATTTTAAATTAATTTATAAAAAACATATATTTTCTCGATATTTAAATAAATTTATGGAAGATATATTTATATGATAGAGGTGTGGAGTTGTTGAGTTATTCAATCTACCCTCCAAAAGCTAAAATAACTATTCAAACCATTTTTTTTAAGTTTCTTTTATAAATTCTTTATGATTTTTTATTAAAAGTATATAATACTATAAAAATAATTTATTTTTTAAAAATTAAATCAAAGGTCGCACTAATAAATAAAATGAGTTTTCCAAAATCTAACAATGCCATCTAAAACACAGAATTTAATAAAAAGATCCTTGTGATAGTAGATGTACATTTTGGATAGTATATTTTGATACATTTCACTATATAGGGAATGAATTTAGAAACTCCCTAAAATAAAATGTAGAATATAGATTCAATTTGGTCTCTCAAAATTTTCTAGCAACCCAGCTCATTTCACAAAAAATAATATCCAAATTAATCTTCACATTTTAATACAAAAACAGTTTAGTGGATATTAAGTCAAAATTAACAGAGGGATTAATTTGTCTCGTTTTGGTGTTGAGGTGGCATTCTCAAAGGTGAAGACTCTTCCGCAGAAGAAGCATAATGCTTACAGAAAAATTCACCAACATCTTCAGACCCTGATCAAGAACATTTTGAAGTTGATGTAAAGACCATGATGCTTGGAGTTTTTGCTCAGCATAGAAGCTAGTAGATTCAAGAGTCACACCAACCGCAGGATGCTAATAATTGAGAACACTAAATCGATTTATTACAACAGTCAATAGCAGCATACTCGCACAGACTGAAACAAAATTCTGATTTGAATAATGTGCTCTCGTACTGAAAGGTAAGGCACGAATAATTAGTTATAAATGAAATCGAGAAAGATGGTACGAGAGAAACATGAGGAATTAGAAACAAACCTTCGGTTTACAAAATGCAAGTGGTTCAAAGGAAATGTTCATGTCATCATTTAAATCTGTTCAAATCATATGTCATAAATCAGTAATAAGTAAAGTAATCAGACAAAATACACACGATAGACATACAAAAAATCAAGTATATTGAGCATTTCCACTTTTCCACCATATTAATTATTATGTTACTGTTCTGGATTGGTCTGACAGCTAGAGTGGGTTCAGCCTGACCTCCTCCTTCGACATGGCCCGTACGACCGCGGCCTAGGCTCCCCCGCCCTCCGTTGAGCTCCATTGATTGTTTGTCTTCCTGGGCCAGCACTGACCTACGATGATCGACGAGCACCTCTTAGTCTGTCCGACCTCAAGTCGATCAGACAACCAAGAATCGATCAGACCACTGCCTGTAACCTACATCCTCATCGGAACTAACAGCTAGTTACGGGAACACCTGCCCGGTTTGACCAGGTCTTGACAGTTACCTATTTTTGTAGACCAGCATATCCATGCCCAAAAATAGGAACCAATTGTCATGCGTCAGGGGAATTAATAAACCCTCACTCATGTGAGGGCCAGGTATCAAATATATACTATTCATCACTAAAACCCTAATACTTTGCTTGTATCTCTTTTGCTCCCGCACTTACTTGATCGTCAGAGTGTCTTGCAGGTACAACCCCTCTTTTTCCTCTTCGATTTTCCAGCCTGACAGAAGATCATCATCCGGCCACCTTGCAGATTCTGATCAACCGGTAAGATCAGTGACATCGTCTGTGGAAAACTATCTTCCCTGTTTTCTGTTCCCCAGAATATGAAGACCAAAGACCCTCACAAGTCAACAATCATGGCCAACCGTGATGATCACCGCCCATCTGAAAAAATTGCATTTTCCCCGGTGCATAAGATCGAAGGAAGTCAATAACATCTTCACCTCGAGGATAACCTCGACTTCTGTGATGACTAGACTGCGTCCCCAGATTTAGTCGACACCCAGCGCGACGACCATCATTT